GTAAGCTGTCCGTGTTTATGTGGAAGTTTATGTAGGTTTATGGAAGTTTATGTAGGATTATGGAAGTTTATGTAGGTTTATGGAAGTTTATGTGGAAGTTTATTCCAGTGCCGACGGGCATGACGTGTACGTACACTTGTACTAAGTCACCAATGAGCCAACACTTTCCTTTGATTTACGAAAATATTTTATGTTATCTTATTTTGCTGGTACTAATGTTTATGACATTATAGTAATTATAATGTTTATGATAAAAATAACTCCATCGATATTCATAGCACTAGTAAAAAATACATTTTCCCGCCAATTCAAGGAAAGGTGAAATCAGGTAAGGCTAAGCACTAGCAGAGCCATCTATGTGCAGAGACATTTCACAAAATATATAAAAAAATGAGCATAGCATAGCATTTTTTAAGTTTATGTAGGTTTATGGAAGTTTTCAGATGAAGTTTGTATTATAGGTTGATGGAAGTTTTGTGAAAGTTTGTGTATCATTATTATTTTTTGTTTATGGAAATTTGTATATTTTTATGTTGTTATTTTGGAAATTTTATGATATTTTTTGCATAGGTTATTGAAGAGGTTTCTGCACATGTAAGTCTTTATGCAATGGCATGCTTTTTTATGCAACTTAGATTATTTAATTTGGTTTATGTATGATTTTTAAGTGAAGTAGTGGGGTAAGTTTATATTGAAAAGGGAAATGCGAGAGAAAGATTTGACGAAAGTGCAAGATGATAAAAAACAGATAGAATATTGAGGAGAAAAGCAAAGAAAAGGAAGAAGGTGAAAAAAACAGAAGAAGAAGAAAGAAAGGTAAAATAGAGATAAAAAAAAACTAGAAATTGCCCAAAGCGAAAATCAAAAACAATAATACGAAATATGCAACATACGATATTTGCCAATCAAATATTACGGGAAAATTGCCACCGAAGCGTTGGGGGCGAGACGAAGGGGGGTAGGGGGGGAGTCGACCCAGACGAGGAGGCAGAGAGCAGAAAGCAGGAAGCAGAAAGCAGAAGAATCCACACCGAGTGGTTTATATTGAGAATATGTCTTTTTCTTTCTCTCTCTTTATTTCTCGCTTTCTTTCTTTCTCTCTGTCTGTCTGTCTCAGACAGACTCCCCTCCACTCCTCTCCTCTCCTTTCCTCTGCTTCCTCCCCCCCCTCCTCCTCCTCCTCCTCCTCCTCCATTCCCCCTTCCCCACCTCCTCCCCCCTCCCCTTCATCCTCCTCCTCCTCCTCCTCCTCCCCCCCCCTTTTCCTCCTCCTCCTCCTCCGCCACCCCTTGCCCCCCTCCTCCTCCTCCTCCTCCTCCTCCTCCTCCTCCTCCTCCTCCTCCTCCAGCATCGAAATACCCTTTGGGCGACTAATATTGTGTTGTTGACTCTCTCTCCGCCGGGTCGAGAGTGGGCGGGGCCAGGAGGAAAGGGGGCGGGGTCATTTTGGGAAGCGGGCCGTGAATTATTGTATGCAGTCGCTGAATTTTCGAATCCTATTTCCATATATATATATATATGTGTGTGTGTGTGTGTATGTATGTATGTATGTATGTATGTATGTGTGTGTATGTATGTATTTTTTTCTCTTTTTTCTTTCTTTTTCTCTCCTTTCTAATTTTCTTTTTTTTTCTTTTTTTTTCTTTTTTTTCTCTTTTTATTTCTTTTTCTCTTTTTTCTTTTCTTTTTCTATTTTTCTCTCTTTTTTCCCTCCGGTTTCTCTGTCTCTCCTCCCTACCTCCGCCCATTCTCCCCGCCCCACCTCCGCCCATTCACCCCACCCCCTCCACCCATTTCCCCCAACCCACCCTCCCCGCCACATCCTCCCCCATCTCCCCTGCATTCTTCTCTTCATGTGTCTTCTACCCTTCGCTTCTTTATTTGTCTTCTACCCTTCGCTTCTTCATTTCCCTCCTTCCTTTTATCTATTTTCCCCTCTCTGCTCTCTCCCTCTCTTTGCATTCTATTTTTTTCTCTCTTTCATATCCTTCTTTCTCCTTCCCATATTTTCCTTCCTTCCTTTCCTTTCTCTCCTTGTGTTTTCCCTTCCGTTTTATCAGTCTGTCTCTTCTCCTCTTCCCTCTTTCTTCCCCGATTTTCCCTTCTCCCTCTTCGTTCCTCTCCCCCCTTTTCACCTCCCCAATTTTCCCTTCTCTCTTTCTTTCGTCTCTCCTCTTCATTTAGCCTTTTCTTCTCTTCTCCACTTCCCCCCTTCCTCCTCTCCGATTTTCCCTCCTCTCTCTCTTTCTCTTTACTCTTTCCCCTCCCCTTCTCTTCTCCACTTCCTTCTTTCCTCCTCCTCAATTTTCCTTCCCTTTCATTCGTCTCCTTGTATTTTCCTTATCATTCTGCTCCGCTTTCCTCCTCTCCAATTTTCTCTCATACCTCTCTTTCATCTCTCCTCTCCATTTCTCCACTTCCCTCTTTCCTCTTTTCCCCTCTCACTTCTCCACTTCCCTCTCTCCTCTCCATTTCTCCACTTCCCTCTCTCCTCTCCATTTCTCCACTTCCCTCTTTCCTCCTCTCCCCTCTCACTTCTCCACTTCCCTCTCTCCTCTCCATTTCTCCACTTCCCTCTTTCCTCCTCTCCACTCTCACTTCCTCTCACAGAATACCAAAAATCCTAGGCTCCTCATTACTTCTTTTTTTCCCCATTTTTATTTTTTTATTTTCTTCATTTTCGTGCCTCGCTAGAAAGAGAGAGAGAGAAAAAAAGGATGGAAGGGGGGGGGAGGGATAGAGGAGAAGGAGGAAGAGGAAGATCCGGTCGTCCGTCGTCGTCGCCTCCTCCTGCCGTCCGCTTGCACTTGCAGGGGACTCACGCTCGAAGGCACGAAAGCAATCGGGCACAGTGAGGTCAGTGAGCGTGTGTAATGGCACCCTTCGCGCTGTTCCGGTGGCACCCTCGCGCGCCCCGGGGAGAATATACGGGCGGAGAGGGTTGGGGATGGGGGATGGGGGAGGGGGGATGGGTGGAGGGTGGGGTGGAGGGGGGGAGGGTGGGGTGGGGGAATGGGTTGAGGATGGGGTGGGAAGTGGGCGGAGAGTGGGCGGGGAGATGGGGGAGGATGTGGCGGGGAGGGTGGGGGGAGGTGGGGAGAATGGGTTGAGGATGGGGTGGGGGGGAGATGGGGGTGGATGTGGCGGGGAGGGTGGGGTGGGGGAAATGGGTGGAGGGGGTGGGGTGAATGGGCGGAGGTGGGGCGGGGAGAATGGGGGAAGGTGGGGGTGGTAATGGACGGAGGTAGGGTGGAGGTTGGGGGGAGGATAGGCGGGGAAATGGGCGGAGGGTGGGGGGGAGGGTGGGCTTGGAGAATGGGCGTAGGTGGGGTGGGGGGAAGTGGGCGGGGAGAATGGGCGGAGGTAGGGTGGGAAGAATGGGTTGAGGTGGGGGAAGGTGAGGGGAAAATGGGCGGAGAGAATGGGGGGAGGGTGGGGGGGGAGAATGGGCGGAGGGTGGGCGGGGAGAATGGGGGAAGAGGGGGAAATTGGCCGGGGGATGGGCAGAACGAATGGGCAGTGGTTAGACGGGGTGAATGGGCGGAGGTGGGCGGGGAGGATGGGTATAGGTGCGGGGGGGGGGAGATGGAAGGAGGATGGAAGGTGTTTCGAGAGTGAGGGTGTTTGAAAGGATGGGGAGAGGAAGAAAGGAAGGGAGAGGAGGAGGGGGAAGGGAGGGGAAGAGGGAGGAAGGGGAAGGGAAAGGGGAGGGAAAGGGAGGGGGGTAGGGGAGAGGATAGCGGACATGGAGATGAATCTTTCAGTATATCTTTTCAAATTTAACGTGATCTGAATACGCGGGGGTGAAGGGGGGGGGAGTTGGGGAGTGAAGGGGTGGGGGGGGGGAGGGGAGAGGAAGCCGTGATCCTCAATCGAATTAGAATCGAATTATAGGCATTTAGTTGAAACCGGGAAAGTTAGAGGGAAGCCGTGCCGGGGTTTTCGTGGGCGAGGATGGATCTTGCAAAAATGTTTTTATTTTCTGTTTCGAACGCAAAATATTGTGAAGATTTTTTTTCTCTCTTTCACTCTAAATATTACAAAAAAGAAAAGTGTTACTCTCTCTTTTTGCTTCGCTCTAAATATTGCAAAAAAATTACGTTTCACTCTAAATATTGCAAAAATGATATTCTACTATTCTTGTTTCACTAAATATCGTAAAAAAAATCACTGTTCACTGTAAATATTGTAATAAAAGATCCTCTATATCATCTTTTTCACTCCAAATATCGTATTTTACAAGTAAGAAATATATCCGTACCAGCTGTATCTCTCCAGTCTTTTTGAGTGTTTAGTTTTACCCATTTACCTTTCGGGCGGAAACTCTGCCTTTTTCTTTTACTGAGTTTGTATGTGTTTCTAAGTTTGGATTTTTTTTTATTGTAAGTTTGCTTGTTTTTACCTTTTTTTCCCTACGGCTTTGTTGATTTTTTTATCTGTTTGTTTTACTGAGTTTGTATCTGTGTGTTTAAGTTCGGATTTTTTTGTTATTTTTGTTTATTTTTTTGTTTCTTTTAATGCAGATTTTTTCCCCTCTTTTTGCTGCTGTTTTTTTCTGTTTATACTTTCGTTATTGTTGTGGTGTATGTTTCTGTTGCACTGTTTTTATTTCTCTGTTTGTTTCTGTGCCACTTTTTCGTGTTCAGTCTTGTTCTTGTTTCTCGTTTTTCTTTTTCTTTCTCCGTTTCTCTTCCTTTCCGTCTGCATCTGTTCCTCTTTCCATTTTTTTTTGTGTCTCTGTCTGTCTGTTTATGTTCCTCCCTTCATTCATTCATTCCTTTGTTGCGTCCTTCGTTCATTCATCCCTCTCCTTCCCTCCTACCCTACCCTCCCTCCTTCCCTCCACCTAACCTATCCTCCCTCCCTCCCTCCCTCCCTCCCTCATTCTCTCCTACCCTCCCATCCCTCATTTCCTCCTACCCTTCCCTCCTTCTTCCTTCCCCCTCCCTCCCTCCTTCCTTCCTACCCTCCCCTCCCTCTTCTTTCCCCATTCACCCTCC